AACAAAAGAACCCAAATTATTTAGATACCCAAATAACTTTATCACCAAAGCTTTTTCTCACCTTCTGTTCTTGTTTATTGTCGTTATTGGACGTCAACCTTTTAGTCTTAGATTAAGACTCTGAATCTATCCATTTTAGGTAGATTTGGTAGAATGATGAAACCAATGTGAAGTCGAAAAGTAGGTCTAAGCAGCAACACAGATAGAGAAACAACCTTAATACAATCGTATTGTTACTTCGTCACCAATCATAAACAGACTGAGACAAAATAAATGTTCTGTCCACTTACATAGGTGGGTTGAAGTAGTAACACTCATCGTCACTGTTTACTTGCTCAAGTCCCTAAACGTTCTTGAAGGGGTAATGATATTTGTCAGGCATTTAAACCAACAACCGATAAGATATCCTCAGTTTAAAATTAGAAACGAAAGTTAGAAAGCTGCTGAACGAATAAATCTCCTTTGTTAGGGCTACTCAGTGGGAAGTTTTCGGATACCGTAACACACCAAAGGTCCGAGCCCAGTGATTGTGGAAGAAGTGTTCACAATGGAGGAACACCTTATTTGCAGCAAAATGCATACGGAAGTATTACATCCAGTTATCTGAATTGCATATGTTATACTTATTGCTGGTAAGTCAAGCGACTTGGATCAGTACACGACGTCTACACCTAGAGTATGGATCCACAGTAAATATGTGTGAAGAATGTGAGTTTCTAGTTAGAAATTTGCACTTGTTAGAGGGTCATAACGATAGGTAAAAGGACAGTCAAGACTCAAGTAACTTCAGTACTTAACAAAGTGTTACTCCAGAATGATAGAGAACAGTATGATTTGGAATGATTCCGTAATCAATGAAGTGCAGCAAATTGTTAAAGAATAAATGCTCTGAAAATTCCTCAAACATTTCATACATGGCAGTACTTTTATTTTTTTAAGTTCTGCCTACTTTCTTGTATATGATAACCTTTATTCAAGAATTGTGTATCCTTATCTTCATCTTTAGCACTCCTCCTAGTCTAAACCTTTATTATATGACTCTGGTTAAAATTCTCCTCGACCCTCCTCACTATTTCGATTTTGGGTTCAAAGCGGTAGCAAGACTGTGAATATATATCTCACCTTATTAAAAGCCGCCATCGTGTATAGGTACATCTAAGACTAAAAGTTGATGGACACTGAATCAATATTGTATATTACCATAGGACCAAGTGTGAATTTCCAGACGAAATATGCGTTAATAGAAATAAGCAAACAGGCAGAAGAGTTCAGAGTTGCATTGTTTCTTAGGCACTGTGTGAAGAATTAATAATATATGTGGTACCATTGATGATTCAGCAGCGAATGGAATTCAAGTGCAGACCCAAAACTCTATCTATTGTCTGGGTATGGTTATGGAAAGATGTATAATGTATAAAAAACTTAGAATGTTAGCGACGGAGACTAGAAGAGGAAAGAATATTTTATAGTACATAATATAGCTATGAGGCGATTATTTGGATATTAATTAGATGTTCAGTGCCTTATTGTTGAACGGGGCTGTAATGAGCTGTGTATTGGTTCATAAAACAGTCCAGGGAAAATGCGAATTGCGAAAGTTTTACTTCACCGAGTGTCTTTGGTTATCTATTCCAGATGCTCGAATAACGCGTAACAAAGAAAGGTGACTGATCATTTTTATGATGTTTTTGATATCTTCAGCAATATGTCCTGATTACGAAGATCACAACTACTGTTTTTTGACAAATTTCAAGGTACTGCAATGTGCTGTAGTTTTATTATGTGGTATTTCTAAAAGCAAAGTAAGGTTATGTTTAAATCTTTTAACTTGTAGAGGGACCATATCTTATCCTTCACATCTATTTTTAATAAAATATGCCGAGATAAGACTCGTGATGTTGTGCTTTCTCGATTACTTGTCGGTCTAAAATACTCAACAAATTGATAATGACTGAACAATATTCATGTAGCGCTGGAATATATCTATTGTAGCAGATCAATGAGGATTAATTCAACTAAAAGTAGCTGTTGACAAGCTTAAAAACTATACGAGCTTGAGGGATTTGAGATAAGGCTTGCTTGAGGAATAACAGTCTTTTAGAATATGCGGCTCTCAAACCGAAGATGTTACTTGTTCGATTAAATTCTAACGATTTATATTCGAAATTATCCGCTAATTAAACGTACGATTATACACTTATTAGGAATCTCGTATATCTTCCTGAATAGAATGTGAAGCATGTTCGCAGTTACTTTTATGTCTAACTTCAGTGCATCAGCTGATATGACGTCGGAACCTGTTGCTTTCCTTTGTAATGCTGTCTCCCCAGTTGTCCAGTACTTCTTGAGATTCAGCTTCAACATGGCAATCATCAGCTAGTGATGATCTGAAGCTATGTCAGCTCCTCTCATGATTCTCACGTCTTCCATTGTCCTTCTGGACTCTTTAGTGATACAACTATGACCGATCTGGTTCTTTGTAGAATAGTCGGGGAGACCCATGTAGCTTTGTTTATGTGTTTGTGTGGGAATAATTTGCCTCATGTAACCAATCTGTTGAATGCACATAAATTCGCAAATCTCTCACCATTCTCGTTCCTTTCTCCCAGTCAGTCCATGCCGTCCTGTGATATCTTCATATCCGATGTTGTCCATTCCAACTTTGGCGTTTAGATCTCCCATCAGGATGGTCAGGTCGTTTCCCGAGCACTTTGCTAGAATGGATTGTAGCATCTCGTAGAACTGATCTTCACCGTCGTCGTCGTTACTGTCATTGGTGTGTGCATAACATTTGAAAACATTCATCGTGATTACTTTCTTCTTTGTTTTGAATGATGCTTTGATGATCCTGGGTCTATGTGATTCCCATCCTATAAGTACTTTACGTGGTTCATTGAACGGCATCAGTCCAACTCCTTGTGTGTGCAAGACACTTTCTCCTTTGTGACCCGAGTACATCAGCATGTTTCCCAAATCTCATCTTTTCTACTCAACTTGAGTCGAATGGGTTTCATTGATTACTAGAACTGCCAAGTTGTATCTGCCCATTTCTGTAGCTATTTTACTGGTTCTCACGATCTCCCACATTGTCCGAATATTCCATGTACCTATGATAATTGTTTCTCTGGTCGTTCGAAGTTGCGTCGGCCTCGTGACTTCCGAAGAATCTCGGCTTTCATCATAAGGCGTCATGATTCTTCTGAACGAAGATCCTTCAACTCGGAGGACAGAGTTTAAATGTTTTAATTTGTTCATTCTGGTTAGCGTGTTTTTAGCAATGTTGTTGTATGCGGGATGTGGCTGCTTACTCGATCCCCAACCCTCCTATTGTATACGGACTTGGGACTGGCAGTAGCCCTACAAGCGGAGTTTTTTTCCACTTAATTTATTAACAGTGGTCACTCGATAAAAATAGCTATATAGTAACCTTCCTACTAAATGCATATCACATATAGCATAAAAAAGATCACGTATAATAATAGGTATGAAATTCTGCATTAGTGACGTTTGGATAATGTAACGTTTTATTTGTGATGAGTATGTTCCCTAGACAGATTGACCTATTTAAGGCTAAACAGTTGACCTGTTTCATGGGGGAGGAGTTATATGCATGCAACTTAAAGGGGGAAGAGATTCAGTGATGATGCTGATCAGTTTTTCCAAATGAATGTGGGGCAAAAAGCTACCTGCACACTTAGAGATGAAACGTGGTATTGAGAATAAAAGATAATTGGTCATTGAGTGTGGACAAATAGGCACTTAACCCACTGACTATTAAATGTGATTCCCTTTTTTCCTATTGACTTCCACTCTGGGCTCACCGAAAGTGACTGCTTGTAACTGTGTTGAATAAAGTATTATCTAGTGTTAGACTGGTTCACTATTCTGGGTCGTGAATCCTGGATCTGGCATAGCGTGACTAGTCTCGTGTGCCTCAAGAGAAAAAATATTTCAAAAACATCCGTCATGTCACCTATACGTTGTGATACTGCAATACATCATAGAATCTTGAAGAAAAGAAGATTTATTATGAACAAAAATATGCAACAATAATCAAAATATGATTTCTAAGATAGTGAGAATAAGAAAAGGTGAGATTTTTGACTAGAAGAATACCATACACAACATCGATCAAGAGAAGTGCTGTAGTACGACGTATTAAACAGTAAAGCTGTTTAAATGCATTCAGCAACTTAGTAACGAGAATGTTATCAACATCTACCATCCACCAAATATGAAGTCACTAATCAAGCTGGTGGGTTAGGTAACTGGCTGTTTGCACATTGCTGTTACGAAATATCCCGTTACAGTTGCTTAAAACTTATTCAGAGTTCAACTTAAGTGAAATAAGTAATCCTACAATCCAACCATAATTACATAGCTACGAACAGATTGCAAATTCCGACTGGTCTTGTATTGGTCTAACTTGATAAAACATTGCTTACTTGTGAACAACTAGGTAATTATAGAAAGTTTTAGGACAGTTGTGTTGTCCCGTTTCCGACAAATCTGTTTGTGTTTTCATATTTGAAATAACTAGCGGAAGTTTTTAAATTCTATTTTTTCAAACACACCAATATTGAAAACATAAAGTAACTACTGCATATCTGCTGGATATCACCATGTCCTGTGAACAAACTTATGTTACACTTGTAACTTTTCCTAGCAAAGAGAGAATAAAAGATCAATGCAAATTTTACTAATGACGCTGAATTTCAAAAATGCAATGCAACACTGTTCCTGAAAACCGTGAATAGTATACTCCCAAGAATAACACAACAAAGTTTCTGTTCAAAACATATTTGCACCATATACAACATACGACAATGAATATGATTGAGATTTTAGCTTTAAGGTATACAAAACTGTTACATTTAGGGACTAAAAGACATTTACAAGTTGGATCTCCCATAAATTATGAAATTACTTTTCGGAAAAAGTTAAAGAAACACCCTGTATGTAATTTAAAAATAAAATAACGTATTTTGTCGATTAAATAATTAGGAATCAGGCAAAAGTTGCGGAATGTACACTTGCTCTGATTTATTTGAATCTGTGAACTGAGAATAACTAGCGTTGTATTGAGAGACATTTAAAGAGTGAGACTCATTGGGAAACTCATCATCATTATCTTCAATATCATCTAATACCAATTCTTCAGGATTTTGACTTACAACACTATCATAAAGATTTGTATTGCTAAGTGGATTATGACTAGATTGGTTAGTATTTGATACAAAAGTGCTATTCATCGGATCATACTCTGTAAAACTCTCTTTGACGAATGAGTCTGAAGTGATCCAGCTAGTGTTTACATCTAATGGATATTCATTAACATCAAGTTGATTTTCGTCATTTTTCACATCATCTTCACAAATATTTTCTTCTGGATTTTCCTCAACTTCATCGTCATCCTCCTCTTCATCCTTCTTAGATTGTAACTGTGCTGATAATTCTAGTAAACTGTATGATTGTTTGCCAAGAAAGAGTGCATTAGGGTTTATTAAATCAAGCATAGCACAAATAAGTTCTGTTTGTGGATTTGAAAAAAGTCGTTGTTCTTTATTTAAAGCATTTGCTTGTTGAACCAAACTAATTGGCGTAGACGTAGTCTTTGTATTCATATGATCAGTTTCATTCGGTTTGTGAATTGCAGCAGTACGTTCAAAGTTGTCAGGAACTTGAAAATCTCCACCAAAAGGGTCATACAAAGCCTGAATTTCATCATCAGTAGCGGAAAAATCACAGCTGAATGAAAAAACGTTGATTACAAATCGATTAGTTAAGTAATGGCATCCTATGAAAACTCATAAATAATGATCTAATATTTTACAACACATTTAACGTCAACAGTATGAAAAGCACATTAATATCATGTGAACAGTTTAATAATTCATAAGTCAACAACAGACGTTAGAACAGGTGGATGAGTCGCTGGGCAAAATTTTTATAACCAATGTAATAAAACTAATGAACTTTATATATATAATGGAATACAGATGATAACTGATAAGGTTCAAAGTACTCATCGTTTGTTTATCAAAGTGACAGCTGAACTAAACTGACTAGAATACTTGTTATTATAGATAAGAACATAATAAGGAAATTAGTAATTGGTTGGTGTCATGATAGCATGAGCAAATGAACTGTAATGGAATCTAATGAGTAAATTATCAGCATATACATCCCCAATAAAATTAATAAAATGATTTCACTAACCGTTCGCTTGTTTCTTTTTCTGGAAGAATACAGGGGACTTTGCTAGTAGACATTAAATGATTTGTTGACCTCAAAATAGATAACCATTCGGGATCAAGATATAAGTTGGTATTTATTTCATCGTTTGAACTAGCATTGTTATTAGGCTCCTTCAATTTTAAGTCTTTTTCTGAATCGTTGACGTTTAATTTGAATTTAGAAAGACTGACAATTACTGGATCATCTCCAAGTTGTGGAGATAAAGATAAATTAGAATCGAAATTAATTGAACTTTCATCATACTTCAGTTCAGGTTCAATATCTAAGAATTGTAAATAGTGACGATTCGGTAAACACTTATCAAGAGCTAGAAAGTGAGTGATGCGTGATTTATTAGTTTTAGAGTCCTGTAAAAGAAACGTGGTAAACGAGAATATGTAAAAGTTATTTAAATGAGAGTATCATTGATTTGAACGAGAAATCAGCTGATTTGAACGATGAAAATGGACGTAGAAGAAAGATGGATGTAATTTTTAGTTGAATAAAAGCTGACCTATCATGGAAAGTTAAGAAAATGACCATGGATGTTTTAATTCGATGCTTCGTACAAAAAGGGATCCATCCCGTGTTAGAAAGAAAACTAACAATCTTTTTCCAATTCAGGAAATTCAAAAGTCATTTCTATGACTACATATGATACAAGAAGAAATCTTAATTCTTATAAATAATATACCAACCATTGAAACCATTCTCAATACTAGAAATAATATTATTACTATCTATTCACCGTCATTACACACAACAGATTTCTAAAGGCGATTTCTATACGTTCGTTTTGATGCCATATTTACGATAGAAATCATTTTCATAGATAAACAGAACAATAGTAGTGCATTATCACACGAAAACAAAGTATGAAAAAACAAGAAATTTACAGAAGGATTTCAAAGTCGTTGAGCTTTCATACAAAAATTTATCCTCAATAATCTGATTGAACTGGGTGGTTCGTTTAAAATATTTTTTATTCTTCATATATCTAAGGTGGTACTTCGACTCAGCAACATTTGTAATTTGAGAGATTACTCAAAAAAATTAATCACCACAGTCGAAGAATGATTGCCCTGAATAATGCTTACAAAACGAAATCGTAATCTGATAGTTTCGTCAGTAGTTAAACTATCAAAACACGAAGTGATGGTTACAATTAAAAAGTATGGATATGGTAGATTATCGTCACAACTGAACGGGAATTGAAATAACATGGCCACATTTCTTCCACATAAATGCTGAGAACTTTGTGCAGTTGTCGAAATGAGAGACCTAAAGAACTAAGATGACTGAACTGGAGATTTAGTGATCAATATGACCCATATAAGTAGTCTAAATAATGTCTTGTTGGTTGAATTTTAGTTTTTATTGAAATTCGTGGATTTAATTCTCAATATGACGCCAAAACTGAAAAAGAGCCTCACAAATTATCAATCCAACGAACGGATTTAATGTAATTGAATCTAATTATTCATACAGTATTAGCACTTTTAGCTCGATGAACATTACAAACTGTATTCTTAAAAACGACTACAAAAGCTATCGAGATAAATTATCCTGGTATTTTTGATTCAGTTTAAATTGTAATTAATAAATTGAGTAGCATGTGAAACAGAGACAGAAATGAGAGAGAAAACTCAATCAAATTGAAATTTCTTTCAACAAAACTCAGGACAGAGTATAATGAATATGGCAGTTTGTAGATTAAAAATATCCCTGAACTGAACTTTATTTAGAACAATGAATATAAACATAAATAAATATAGGTGATCAACCTACTGAATGTCCAACAAGCGCTGAAAATTTACAATGCAAATGAGCTGCAAACCAATACCGTGGCTTTAAACGACATAACAACTGTTCACCGGGTGGACTGCCTAATGAATCTGACTCGATTTCATTACGAAAATGAGGTTTCCTTCTGGTTAATTGATTTAAATTTCCGTAATGATATATCCCTCGAGGCCAATCATGACTCATCACTATATCTAAACGTCGGCGAATTTGTCCAAGTCGGAAAACTTCTAAGTTTCTTAAATGATATACAGAACGTTTTGTTGCTTCTGAGTATGGTGGATGTTCATAATGACACATGGTATAATCATGTTGTTTGTATATACCTGATAAACCAGCAATACGTAATCCAGCAAATTGGACAACACTAGCATAACCTATAAAAGTAAAATAAGAAAACACGATACAAATAACATCCTAAGAAACAATAAACAAAAATAAGTAGCATGGGATATTTATATGTGACCAACTGCAGCTTTCGATGTAAACAATCAAACCAGATTACCCGATATTCTCATATAAAATATGTTTTTAATCATAAAGTTAATCAACCTTACTATCGCAAGAAATACAGTTTACGCTAAACCAGCGAAGACAGCTCATTTACTAAATAGAAAATTAATTAGCTTAGAACAAAATGTATTTGTAACATCCCAAGAAAATGCAAGAGTTTGCAATAACTCATCATAAGTGCATACATAAAATAAAACAGTTAACTCATATTCTGATTCCAAATATTATTCACACATCTAAACGATTGAACAAAAAGAACGTCATTTCTTACGTACGTTTTTTATAGTATATTAGAGATCTTTTGAAAAAAAGGGTAATACAGAAACCACGTGTTTGCAACATCTCTGAGGTAATCAAATGGAAGATAAAGTTCGTGTTCGGGATTGTTACGAATAAGCAAATAAATGGAAATAGGGAATTTTGGAAGCCATTCGTTTGTGAATTACCAGATGTATTTTAAATATATATTTATCTAATAACTAATATGTAGTATGTTATTACCTTTGTTCTTTTTTCTAGATTTATTTTAATTAATTGTGCACCTATTACTCAGATTTTGTCCCCAAAAGACCATAATTATGTAAAAACTATAATTTATTATGTATGCCATGCTGTCGACTTGTTTCATATGTATGTTATAATCATATGGGTTTTCAGTTTAATAACATTAATATATGATAGTCAATTAGCATTCTGATGTTCTAACTGGTAGTGAAGATGGACGAAATCCTGCATGGGCGAATCGGCATTATTCATATAAACGAAAAAAGACATAGTACTAGCCTCTTAAAGCGAAATATAGAACAATCGAAAAACTATGGAATTATTTTAATGCTTATATTGGACAAACACCTACGCTATTTAGGAATAATGATTCTGTAAGAACTTAATTTTAGAAGCTAGACTAAATGCTATACACGACTTCGTATTTAAATCCGTTATTAGGCTCTAAAAACTTAAAAAACTCTACCAATATATATGACCAATTAAAGATAACATAAATTTACCTAAAACAAAAGATTAACTAAGATGTATGGAATATTGTAGTGTGTGCTATTTAAGTCGACGGATATAAGTAGTGCGTAACACCAATCGAAAGTGAAATGCCTGGCAGCAGAAGGTTAAGAAGATCGAATAGAAAAGAAGGAGAATAAACAGTGATTGATCTGGAAATGAAGAAACAACAAAGTTTGAGACAATCGCTGGGCATTCTGCAAATGAAGTATTGAACGTATGGTATTGACATTTTACCAAATAGCTCTGTATATATATATATATATATATATAATATATATATATATAAATTAAGGTTGACAGTTGAAATCAATCGGTCAGATGTTATAAATCAAGTTATGAACACAAGTTATTGTATCTTGTTGGAAAAATCCAAAGTCATCTTATGCTACTAATGTCTCCAGTTTATTATTGAACTCATAGTTCAAAACTCTTTAATTAGCTAGTCAATATAAAAGTGATAAGAAAATACACCTGAAAAATTGATAAATCCATGATACAATAATAATAATAATAATAATTTTTTTCTTCATTACTATGGTCACAAATGATTTGAATACTTTTATCAGTAACCTATTACATATTAAAAAGTTAAAACTAATCATAAATACCCATTTAAAAATTAATATTAAATTAAATAAAAACACTATAAGAGTTTTGATAAATTACAAGTAGTAAATTAAAATATTCAAAATAAAATTATTAATATCAATTGTAAAATGTATTAAACAGAAATTTATAATAAAGATAGTGTAATGAACAGAAACACGAGTAGGGACAATCGAATGTATTTGACATGAAATTACACGGTATCTCAATAAAATTTGAGAACCATATAGTAAATAGTTAATTTGCAAAATATCAATCCATCGTCTCAAATTTGACTGTTCCTTTGCAAATATCAGTCCATTGTCTTAGATTTCATTGTTCATGTATTTCCATACCAATTGCGTTCCGTTTCTGTTCTTTCCATCTCGATCTTCTACTGAAATACATTTTATGACTGACCACAGTTATATACTACTTATATGGATATAAGTAGCCCACACCACAATGGTATTTAAGAGTAAATAAAACTTATAAAATATTAAATGATATAATGAATGATGTATTCACTGAAAAAAAGAATTATTATATACTTATTCTCTCAGTATAATATTTAAACAAGAGACAATACACTTGTTATATCCCGATAAGAATAATGAGTGGTAACTTTAGAATCCATTTAAGAGCCAATACTATGCGTATATTTTTATCGTATAATAATTAAATAACTAAACTATTCATATTCATGTCCCTCTTATTATGAGCTTTATTTTGACCTATGAACTGTTGTTATATGATTTACCATCCTTGAATTATGCCTTGTCTATTAATTACTGCCTCCCACACCCATAGTCACTTTTGGCTAAATCATGTACAAACGTTGTTTCCTATTTTATGGTATGATGTGGTCTGTCTGGTTGGTATATAAACCCAGTATGTTTGAAATAAATGATTCATTTTGCAGAGGCTTAATTTGGTGTTCGGGACTTAACTGGCTGGGCTATGCAAGAAGCAGGACCGATAAGGACTCTAGACTGCTCGCATGGGTTTTATACGTCATTGGTCCGATCGATAATTCACTGCTCTCTAATTGGCGATATCGTCACGTTATACACTAACAGGGCACCCATGCAATAAGTTACAACAACATTTAAAGAAAAGAAAATTTCAAATTAATAATAAAGAGTAGATACATGTAATAATTAAGGTGGAAAAATCTGTTTGATAAGGAATGTAAACATAAGCACGAATAAATAGTTAGATATAACCAGAAATGAATTTAGTGAAGATTGTAGTAATCCAATAATTGAATTCATGAGTCAATTAAAGCTAAACCATCTGAAAATACTTCAAGCGGTATCGTGGATGCGCACTGGTGAGGAGTTCCATACTAGGACGAAACGGCCGTCAAGTGGTTCTAGGTTTTTCATGTTGATCTAGCTTTAATTGACTCATGAATTCAACTATTAAATTACTACAATCTCCACAAAATCCATTTCTGATAACAATAATCATATCCTCACTAATGACTGGCTTCAAGAGATATTTCCTGGAGTTCTAGTGAGAAGCCGTGACCAGCGGAGTTCAACTAGGTCTGTTGTGAGATAGTAACTCACTGAAGACAACGGTGGATATGTCGCTCAATTTCATGGATTGGTTGAAGTTAGACACTAACACCGTTGGATGCCAGCTCAGTGGTTTAGAGGTTAAGCGTTCGGGTGCGAGACATGGGTTTGAATCCCGTAAGCGGGATCGTGGATGCGCACTGCAGATAAATATTCACTAATATCAACACTATGCAATTTAATAATTACATAACGATTTATGAAAACCATATTAAGCTACACATCTATAGTAAAGATACTCGTTAAAATAATTAGATTTGCAAATTGTTCATTCACATCTAGTAGATAAAAATAACAAGTATTAGAATAAATAAATTAACGATTTACAGAGATGCATTTTCTTCACCAATTGAAAATGAACTTACCCATATACCAGATGTTTGGAGCAACCCAACCACCATATGGTAACTCTTGAAGATAACCAGATGCTTCATGATTACCTCCAACAAATAATGTCAAAACAGGAGCTCTACTTTCTTCAGCATAATACCTTTGAAAAATAATGGAATGAAGACAAACATGGAAGTTTATAATTTACAAATTATGATTTTTTTCATTCCACTAGATTTATACAACTACTTAACTAGTAAGAAAGTTTAGAATTACGAAAAAGCGACTCAATTTATTTCTTTTGCTAACACTTAAGTGCAATTTGAACTGATAGCCTATTGCTTCTGAATTACAGTAGTTCTTATGTAGGAAGAACTAACTTTCGGAATGTTTATTTTAGCTCACTTAACAGAAAGATTATGAATGGAGAATAGTATGAATTTCTCAAGTCTACTAAAATAACTAATATCTACCAAGTGTACTTTCAGGTACACACACGTACGTTATTGTTTGAAGGCTAATGATACGACCCGGTGAATCAAACCAAAATAGATGGGATAGAGTTTGGAAATTCAAACCAATCAACTGTAAAGCTATTACTCAATTGTATAACCGAGGTAGGTCAAATGAACCTTTAGGATTCCATTCAATATTTAAGAGTCAAGTGCTGAGAACACTAAGACTCAACTTCATAGGGACTACAGCAAATCACAGTACGATTAATGTGACTTCAAAAATGAATTCAGGATCAATACAAACATCGCTAAGAGAAACAAAGGATATATGATATTCTAAACAGCGAATTAGTTTAGATGCATTGTGCATTGAAGTGTGGTAATATAATTATTTATACTGCAAAGCACAAAAAACTCATGATGTAGAAACCTTATCCACTGAATACTATAAATAAAACTATCATGCATACCTACATATATATATTTCTACATGAATGATATCAACCAATAGAGATATAAATTATAGAAATAATAAAGAAAATAGAAGATGGACCAGTTGTCAGAATAGGTAAGCATCAGGCATATCATACTTCCGTGTTTTCGTTTGTTGAGGGACATGATAAGAGCTGCTTTTCACAGGAGTATGTAGGTATATATGTCATTCATCGGGGAACATCTGACATATAATGAAACACCTGAAGTATTTGCAATCTAATAAATATTTTTTCAGTTAAAACCGTTATGGGTTAATAATAACTGTATCATAAACACAGGTGACTAAATATTGTGGGTAAGATATACAAGTCTTATTAAAAATTCGAAATATATTCCATTTAAGAAAACTGTACACCGATAACTTTAGGTGTTAATGACAGAGAGCAACATCAATTTTTACGAAGCATTTTAAAAGATTAAGCAACGTTTGTTTGTATTGGTTGTTTAGATCTTTCCATTGATGTTTAAAACTCCAATCGGTCAGTCTGTTTTTGGCATATGTTCAAACTATGCGGATTGCTTCGATATTATTATAAAGACACAGGCACTATAAGTAGAGATTGACAGTGGCTAGCAGTAGAATCCAGGACGCGCGTTTCGTCGTATTTGGGATTCGTCATCTGGATGTACCTGCAACCCAGAGTTGATGTCTACTACAGGACTCCAACCCCGTACCGTTCGCTTGAAACGCCATCGAGTTATCCACTTAGATACTGGCTTGGGCAATGCTGTGAAATTTAATTCTTTTGTATTAGTTGTTAAGCAACAGTAATCTAATGATTATTTTCCCGTGATTGTAACATAAGAAATACATCAGTTTAAATGACGAAAAATAAAACAGATGCATTTACATACCTCCAAAAATCACCCATGCGGTAATACTTGGAAGGAACGCTCATTGTGGTTAAATCACTGGGATTGCGAACAGCTTGAAAATCACCACAGCATAAAACTAGGTCAGTTTTAAACTGACCCTGTTGTTCGGCTTCTGCAATGTCGGCGTACACACAGTCTAACTCTCCATGCAAACAACCAACCACACAAACTTTTACCATAATTTGACTTAGTGTAATCAGATGTATCGCAGATTAAGGAAAGACTTAAGAAATCAAAGGAAAATAAACAATTTTATGTCACTATTTTATCCAATATAATGAAGATCATGATGGTGAAATACAATAGTAATAAATAGTTTTCCTTATCAGATAACAAGAGTCTTTGGAACTATTCACGATACATGACGTATATACCTGTTTGAGCATCAATAAAAGAAACGTAACAATGGGAACTGAGACAATAACAATAAAGCAGTCTACAAACTAAAGCTACAAAAACAGACGATTGAAAGGTATGCCACAACTTGATATTAGTTGGATAAGGTCATTGATCACCAATGAGTACTGGAAAGTTTTTCTTCCTGATTCCGTGGTCGTGTGGAAATATGAAATCGTATATAATCAAATTCATGACATTTGAGCTTAGTGGCAAGTATGATCACATCAGCCTACTGAGTCATATTTCAATGTCCTAGGAATCATCAACTTCAGTCAATATGTGACATACAAGCTATCCTCATTAGATACTTTGAGTGAATGAACTCCCCATTTGTTTGATTCTATATTAGAGTTTCCGGGAAATTCATGTTGCAACTAGTCTCTGTTAATTAGGCAATTATTAATGCAACTAGATGGATTTGTGTACATTTTTCTGGTGCTTGAAGACAATGGTGGTAACAGACGGACAATATCTTTCCTAAAAACTGTAACCAGTCGTCGAAATTGGACTCTATTACTCACTTCAAGATATCTACTACCACTTCCACCCATTAAAAACTGTATAATTCGCGACAGTCGCTTTACTGTTCGTTTAATATTGGTAGAATAGTTCAAATCAGCATGTCGTCCCATTTGAGAAAAGACTACCATAAAATTAGCTATGTGTCTTATTAGCTCCTGCAGACAAGCTTCGTTGACCTGATGTAATGAAGGACAGTTTAATAACTGTACAGAATGCTTTCACGATGTCATGCGACTGGCCAAATTAATTATGTAAATAATTATTGCTTTGGTGTAACATAACGCCGCCTAAAACCCTCCTAGGTTTACTGCCGGTACCAAGCCCAGGCAAACAAGAACGGTTGGGCATCGAGTAAGCAGCCACATCCCGCATACAACAACATTGCTAAAAACACGCTAACCAGAATGAACAAATTAAAACATTTAAACTCTGTCCTCCGAGTTGAAGGATCTTCATTCAGAAGAATCATGACGCCTTATGATGAAAGCCGAGATTCTTCGGAAGTCACGAGGCCGACGCAACTTCGAACGACCAGAGAAACAATTATCATAGGTACATGGAATATTCGGACAATGTGGGAGATCGTGAGAACCAGTAAAATAGCTACAGAAATGGGCAGATACAACTTGGCAGTTCTAGTAATCAATGAAACCCATTCGACTCAAGTTGAGTAGAAAAGATGAGATTTGGGAAACATGCTGATGTACTCGGGTCACAAAGGAGAAAGTGTCTTGCACACACAAGGAGTTGGACTGATGCCGTTCAATGAACCACGTAAAGTACTTATAGGATGGGAATCACATAGACCCAGGATCATCAAAGCATCATTCAAAACAAAGAAGAAAGTAATCACGATGAATGTTTTCAAATGTTATGCACACACCAATGACAGTAACGACGACGACGGTGAAGATCAGTTCTACGAGATGCTACAATCCATTCTAGCAAAGTGCTCGGGAAACGACCTGACCATCCTGATGGGAGATCTAAACGCCAAAGTTGGAATGGACAACATCGGATATGAAGATATCACAGGACGGCATGGACTGACTGGGAGAAAGGAACGAGAATGGTGAGAGATTTGCGAATTTATGTGCATTCAACAGATTGGTTACATGAGGCAAATTATTCCCACACAAACACATAAACAAAGCTACATGGGTCTCCCCGACTATTCTACAAAGAACCAGATCGGTCATAGTTGTATCACTAAAGAGTCCAGAAGGACAATGGAAGACGTGAGAATCATGAGAGGAGCTGACATAGCTTCAGATCATCACTAGCTGATGATTGCCATGTTGAAACTGAATCTCAAGAAGTACTGGACAACTGGACAATCAGCACTACAAAGGTTCAATACTGCCTTCCTTCCACATACTAACAAACTCAACGAATTCAAGATATCTCTTAACAACAGGTTTCAAGCCTTACAAGATCTACTGAAGGAAGAAGAAACTACTATGGAGGACAACTGGAAAGAGATCAGTGAAGCATTAACTTCAATGTGTCAGCAGGTTCTAAGCCTGAAGAAGCACTTTTATAAGGAATAGGTCTCTATGGAAACCCTGTATTTGATTCAAGAAAAGAAGAACAAGAAGACAGCAATTAACAACAGCCGAATGAGAACACAGCAAGTTAAGGCACAAGCTGAATACACTGATGCATACAATGAAGTGGAGAACTGACAAGCATAAATACGTGGAAGATCTAGCAATGAGAGTGGAGAAAGCTGCAAGAGAAGGAAATATGAAACAACTATATTACACGATGAAGAAATTGACAGAGAAATATAGTGAACCAAAGTAAACAGTCAAGGACGAATGAAGCAAGTCAATCATTGAGACTCAAGAATAGAGGAATCAGTGGGTAGTGCACTTTGAAGAACTCTTGATAAGACCCGCTGAACCCACCGGACATTGAAGCAGCGCACATCTTCCTATCGATGTCACTCCACCAACAATCGAAGCAACCAGGATGGCCAACAGACAAATCAAGAGCAGGAAAGCAGCAGGACCTGACAATATACCAGCTGGAGCACTGAAGTTAAACACAAAAGTAACTGCAAACATGCTTCACACTCTAATCAGGAAGATTCGGGAGGAAGAACAAGTGCCGACAGACTGTAAAGAAAGTTATCTAATCAAGATACAAATGAAGGGAGATTCGAACAGTCTGATAACTTAGCTGCAGAGGCATCACACTACTATCAGTGCCATGAAACGTTTTCAACAAAGTGTTGATGAACCAGATTAAAAACTCAGTGGGCGCCCAACTTCGAGATCATTAGATCGGATTCCGTAAGGATCGGTCGTGCACAGACCGAATCGCGACGCTACGGATCATCGTTGAACAATCAATTGAATGGAATTCGTCACTATACATCAATTTCCTTAATTATGAAAAATCATTTGACAGTGTGGATAGAAAATTATGGAACCTTCTTCGAAACTATGGAGTGACTAGCTGAGAAAATCGTCATCATTATCTAGAATCCATACAACGGACTACACTGCAAAGTGGTGCATTGAGGACAACTGGCAGACGCATTGCAAATGAGGATCAGTGCAAAACAAGGGTGCTCACAGATGAGCTAGCTCATCTATCTCATACACATCAACAAATCCAGGTGGAGACAGCCAGCGTAGTAGCAGCCTCTGAAGTAGTAGGCCTCAGCATACTGAAGGGCAAATGCAAGCTCCTCAAAGATAACACAGAGAGCACAATTCCAATCAAACTCGATGGAGAAGCACTGAAAGAGGTGGAAACTTTCATGTACCTGGACAGCATCATAGATAAACAGGGAAGATCTAGTGCAAAAGTGAAGGCAAGGATTGACAAAGCAAAGCTAGCATTCCAACTACTGAAGAACATCTGAGACTCAAAACAACTGTCAACCAATATCAAAGTCAAAATCTTCAATACGGACGTCAAGACAATATTATTTAACGGAGCTGAAACTTGAAGAACTACTACAACCATAATCCGAAATTTACAAGTATTTGTAAACCATTGTCTACGTAAGATATTCAACGTCCGTTGACCGGATACCAGTAGCAACAGTCTACTGTGAGAGAGAACAAACCAGATGTCATATGAGGAGGAAATTAGGAAAAGACGTTGGAAGTGAATAGGACACAAATTGAGGAAATCACCAAACTGCATCATGAGGCAAGCCACAACTTGGAATCCTGAAGGATTAAGTAGAGGAGGACGACTAAAGAACACACTGCCTCGGGAATCGGAAGCAGATATCAAAAGTATGAATAGCAAATAAAAAGTAATAAAAAGGATTGCCCATGACAGAGTTGGATGGAGAATGCTAATGGGCGGCCTATGCTCATCCACGAAAGGTAACAGGCGTAGTAAAGTTTGTGCTGCTAAAATGACCCAAAATAAAAAACAGGAACAAAACATCTCAAGATAACATAAATAGAAGGAAAGTGAATACAAGTTGAGTGTTTTAGGGACCCTAAGAAAATAACAGAATTATTGTCAAGTCGTCTATTCTTACCAATCCAGATCCTAAATCTTTTCATCATAACTCTAATCGGTAGTCGTTGCACCTTAAGTAATAATGAGATAAAAATGATGATATAACTTGTTTACATAGTACAGGTTGATATAAATGGCTTTGAGTTATACAATTTATGTAACAACCAGTGATATTAGCCAGATTGTTGAAAAACACAAGTATGTATGACCTACTGTGAACCTGTGACGTACTGATTAAAAGTTGAGTGCATCAATGATAAAGTTGCTGCTTGATATTAATATTACATCTGTAGAATGGTGAAGTATTGGATTTATCAACCTGACAAATTTTTAGCAATGACCGTTGTGAATTCAACAATATGATGCTATAATTGAAATCATGAACTGATCAATATTAGACCACCATTGGAAACTTGGAAGCATTGGACAGCATAGGACGACACGGTCGTCTAATACTTCCAGGTTTTCAATGGTGATCTAATAATGATCGGTTCATGATCTCATTTAAAACTCAACAACAATATAATGCTAACCAACTAGACATATACTCGCATATTAAAACATGTTATGGTAAAAATAACCTTTCACTATTGGTTAAACTCTTTCAGTATGAAATAAGATGATGCAAAACATTAGCTGCTCGTTATATATTAAAACTTCATACAAACAGTATATTATAACCATTCTCATGGTATTTAACATTACGTTGAATAGCAACTTTATTCTCACTGACCGGAAAACAGAAAGAACGACTCATAACAAACAATATATAGTTGTATTTAGATTGTTTGAATTTACAGTCACATGAATGATATTCATTAATAGAAACAATGCAAAAGTCAAAGAGTATAATTCGAAAACATCTCATGAACAAGTAAAGCATTTTTACCGACGTTGGTGATCGCGTGGAGGTGGATAAAAGCGATCGTCCGACCCATGATACCGCATATTACCGCCTCCTCGCCCTGGTAAATTATTGGAATTGTAACCACCACGTGAACCGCCGCCGCCAACACCACCGCCACGATTGTGTTGTCCCTGGTTCTGAAATATATATATATATATGTATATTTATATGGGTTCATTCGTAAGCTTTTTTCAAAAATTATTCGTAAATTATCTATAAGTGATTTAATAAACTTATAGTAACTAGACATGCAGTTTTGCTCTACACCCTTCGGATTTATAAAAACATCAGTCAGAAACTACATTATACTATCAACAATATAACTGACTCACAGGTTGAAATCCGCCGCCATAGTAGGTTATTCTATTGGTGTCTGCGTACGGACCACCTGGTAAAAGACCAGGCCCGCTAAAGCCTTGGTTGTTAAATGCGTTAGTGGGTATATTATTACTAGTATTGTTACTATTACTAACATTGTTATTGGACCAGCCAGATTGTGCGTTGATTGAATTAGCTATGGAAACCGCAGCTGCTATTGCAGCAGCACGAGCAGCATTTATATTCCCACCGCTACCGCCTCCACCGGCTGCTCCTAAACCACCAGGTCCAGGAGCTGAAGTGAATCGAGCAAACGGTGAACCTGAGCTTCGTGAACGTGATCTGAAAAAGAAAAAGAAAGTAATTTGAAGTATAAGCGATATTAAGCAATGAAGAATTAACTGTTTAGCTCGTATGGCCCATTTTACATCTAGTGATGATTGTTCACACCTAAATTACTACGGAAATTATGAAAAATAGTGAGTTTTATAACAAAATAGATTCGCTGTATATAAATATGCATTTTTCTGAAAATACGTCCCAAGATCCTGTTATTTTAATTTCTTAATTTTAATCATAAGCCAATTGAAGCTAGACCACCATGGAAAACCTGGAAGCACTGGACGGCCGTTTCTTCCTATTAATTCCATCTACCGAAACCAAGCTCTGAGCTTAAAATCCATATTCCTAGAAATGTAAATTGTATTCTCCCAATTATCTACCTTGTCTTTCGTTGTTATTTCGCCCGATATTTTTAAAGACTACATACAAGCTAAATACAACCGAATTGTACAGTAATACTACCAAATGTCTTTAATTACGGAAAGCGTAATTTATCATATGCTAATAATTTAGACACCAACTAACTGAACAGACAACCATAATATCGAAAAAAAAGTATGCCTAACAACAGAATACACCAAGCTTCTTATACTACAATTTACATTGGCATAAAGATCAGAAAGACATAAAGGAAAAGTAAGAATGTATACTACTAATACTTTGAACATACGAAGGAAGCATAGGGAAATCAGGTATGAAATGCAAGCACAACTAACCTGTTACGTCTTCGATCTCTTGAAAGGCCACGTGACTGGTTGCTACCAGTTTCATCATCATTATTAGGTGACACAGATTTGGAACGAGAATCACGAGAATCAGAGCGTGACTGAGATCTACTTTGAGAACTATGAGATCTAGATTGTGATCGTGAACGAGAACGAAAGTCACGAGAACGTGAATCCGCAGAATGAGAATGAGACTTTGAACGTGAATCAGATCTGTAAAAGATGAATTTCGAAGCAAACTGTTAAGGAATAATTAAATAATCTTCAGTAAATAAAGTATACTTATTGTAACCTACTGAAAGCGATTTGATATAATGAATTATATAGGCATTATATCTAACAGTTCTCTATAAGATATATATTAGAACCTTTTAAAATTTAGCACAAACCTAGAACGAGATCGCGACCCACGAGATTCAAAACGGTCAACAGAAAATCCTGGTGGGGGCCTTTGAATCAAACCTTGAGGCAGTGGAAGGGTTGGTGGTGGCTGATTGACCGGAGGAGGAAATTGTAGAAAGCTTGTATTAGGGAATCCACTTGGTCCAGGTGGAATGGCACCTAGTAAACCTGGTAATGGAGGGACAGGTATGGGAATACCCGGTTGAATACCAGCTGTTTTATAAGCACTATAATTATGTGTTAGCTGTCCTTGCATACACTGCATAGGAGGAGGGGCCAAGGTCAGTGCTTCAAGGCCAGTTCTGAGAGGTTGACCTACTGCAAGTTTGGGATAAGATGTTATATATGATAATTGTGATGGCCCAAGGGGACCTTCCTTATCTGAATTGTCACGTGAAAACGGCTTTTCAACGTCAACCACTGTGTCATGTTGAAGGTCTGGAACTAATTCATTTGTGAAATCATATTCTGAATGACTACTTGCATAACTACCTCCACTATGTTGACGGCGTCGATTTGACTTTGCTTTACTGGTAGATGTGTTGTCTCTCTATATAAATGAAATAAAGAACAATACATATATTAAGTGCTAGAAGGTATAGCACATTTACTTTATGAACGACCCAGAAGAACGAGACTATAAATTAATAACACAAAATATACAAACCATATTGAACGCTTATCTTTACAACTAAAGATAGAATGTTTCAATCTACCTTTTGCCATTAGATAAATGTTGATTTTTGATACCTTGCTAAAAGATTGAAAATCGACTACAAACTGTTTAATAAAAATTATCAATACATTATTTACTAATTAAATCCAATAATTCTTTAAACTCATCCGAACAAACAATAATATTGGTCAATGTGATATAAACTATTCAAGTGGAAACGATAAACTGATTAATATGAATGATAAAAATGTCAGAAATATTTTACTAATCCATAATTTCTGAAAATATTATTTAATTGATTGTATTGTTGTGAGTTTGTGATTTAATCTAAAAGAAAGTAATTGAGCCATGAATAAACGAGTGGCTTCAATAGTATACAACAAAAGTACACACAAAAGCGTAATTACAGCTGAAAATTCTTTGGGTAAAAATTAAAGGAAAAAGTTTGTCTTAAGAATATAGAACAAAATTCAATATTTACACTATGCTTTTATAAATTGAATTTTGAAGTAAAAGGTAATTAGACTATAATATGAGATAGAAAATTAATTTATTTGATGTATTTTGTCCCAAACTTAGTTATTCCCTTTTGAACGTTAATTTAAATTCATAATCATAGAAATTGGTGTGAATTTGTTGAAAAGAATGTTTTTTATTAAAATAAGCGTTTCGAGAAAATCTATTAAGTGCAAAAGGATAGTCACCTCTATATTTTCCTCAAGTGGTAATTATTCAAACTAATAAATAAGTAAATATTAAAATTGGAAACATCTAATTACAAAACATTTTAAGCGAAATTTCCAAGTTACAAAAAATTTGACTAACATCGTTTTCTTTATGCTCAGAAGGACGAGCGCGTTCTTTTTTCGTATAAAATTCATGAAGAGCCATGTGTTCCCAACCTTCGCCGTCACGTGGTTTATCTGGGGTGGGTGGCATGTAAAAATTCTCCAATGCCATAAGCAAACGTTCAGACGGTGTTGTTGGAGGTAATAATTGCAAATTGTTTTCATTCAGTGGAGTAAAATCAAAATCTTTTAATCGAATTAATGGATGTACTAATCCTGCAGGTAATTGCCAAGCGGGGAATTTTTGATTTATGTCATAAGATTCAACAACCGGTATCATAGAATTTTCTGAATTTTTTGGCATTTCTAGATCAGTCTTAGGTGTTATGTGTTGCTGTTCCATACTGACAGTATTTTTTCCAGTATCACTACGATCAATTTTCTTTTCATTACCTGTCTCAGGATGAGATGGAGCAGAGGAAAATCGTGAAGGACGACTACCGCGAAATGTTCGAGGTTTCTCATCACGATTATTTTGATTGTCTCGTGTATTTCGAACACCATGAGAAGAGTCTTCATACTGTCGATAATCGTTATTGTTATGATTATAATAACCTCCATAAGATCCTATGAAAGGAAAAGAATATATATATATATATAGCAATATGTACATAGCACATAATGTATATAGTATATACCTTTATAATAATTAGGGATAAAACGAAATTTAGTTAGACGAAAGATAACATTTTTTTCTTTAAGATAATTTGCATGAGACAAAATTGAAGAAAGTATATACAATAAGATAGTTAATGGGTTACTAATCAAGAAACAGGTTTTGCACTTTCGTAATAGATTATAAAGAAATAAGAACCCATGAAAAAATTCAAAGACATCAATTTGAAGTATCTCTAATGAAATGTTTATCATCATTTAAGGTTACCATGTATATACATATATATATATATATATATATATATATACTATGTAACTAACTTGTCTTTTATTTCCTTATAAACAAATCGAGAATCAACTCCCTAGATGAATGTTGTAACTGAATGAACACACTGAGACAATATAAAAGAAACCAAGTCTATTCACTTATATTTCGTGCTATACATACGTGTATATATTATTGTTTACTTCAAATACAATCTCGTCCTTTATTTTCTGTCATGTATTTCGCTCAACTACATAAAAAGAATTGAGAATGTTAAAGAATGTCATCATTCAGTGGTTTAGAGCGGGGATTTTCATAAATAAAATATTGGCTTGTTATATCATACTTAAATTGTTGATAGCTACTACTGGTATGGTTGTTCACTATTGGCCGAAAAACAAGTTTTTTATGCTACTTATTGAGTGGAACAAAACTGAAATGGGTCAGTGGAATAAAGAAAGTAAGAATGTTACGTGAGGATTTATTTATGCATCAACCAGTGTTTAAAACGACATCCAAAATAATGAAATATATCATTTTAAATGTTCGGCCAATAAATAAATTTGGATGAATAGAATTAACAATCAACCAATAATTTAATGTGTGTACACAATCTAAGCAATCAATACGTTAAAATCCTTCAGAAAATATAACTAAGCCACTAGATTATATATTTCGCACTTTCCTAATACCTCGCCTGAATAGGAGCGAGTAGCTTCCAGAAGATGGACGGTCAACGTGAAAATTAGATATCCTTTTTAATTCCTCCCCCATTTTTCGATACGCTGGAGGTAGAAAAGCATTTCTTTACCAGCCAATACTTATTGATAAGTCTTGCTACCGACACACTTAAACTGTCTTCCTATCCTGTTCGGTTATCCCCGACTTCTACAAGTCAGTTGAAACACTAGAGCAAGCACGAACCGCGAGCAACAGCTTTACTCTGAGGTCAGTTTATGAACAGAAAAACAAGGGCCTTTGCAGAATTACACACAACCTAGAGCTTCTATGAGTTCTCGAGACCATAATAAATATAGTAGTAGTATGGGTAAACATCCAATCAACACTAGCACGTGACTCTCCATTTTCTAGATGTTTCTCTGAAGACTTCCTGGCATTTCTGGGCCTCCGGAGATTTTGACAAGGTATATTTCCGGGACTCTTCCAACAATTATCACAAGTGAAGAACAGTAATCATCTCAATAATTCAATTCCGATATTTAGAGAACGAAAAACGAGAGGAATTATATAGCTTGATATGAATTAAAAATCAGTGCCTTTATCTCATACCGAAAATAGCTGAAATCAAAGCTGCAAATAGCTGGTTAAGCTTCTATTGAAGTGGTTGGAGTTAAATCTTGAAACAACCATTAGAGATAGAATGATAAAGCTTGCTATCACTTTTTGAAAACAGTTTGGTTCATCTTTGCCAAGTACATACCACGCAGTTCTAAAGACTATACAAGGAGAATCGATTTATTGAAGAACGCCCAAGAGTCAGATTTAATAGTAGAACTATGATATGACAGAAGGATAGGTTACAGGCCAAAGTTACAGCCTTTGACAAATCTATAATATACACCTTCCAGGTAATACTTAAAGTTATTATTATTATTATTATTAATGACTTTATTCAATATTATATTTTGGTACAATATAGAATTCTCAGCACAGGGTATTTCAACAAGTTACTTATGCAAACAAAAATAGTAACAAAGACAAAAAAAAAGTTTAAAAAAAAAATATCTGAAAAACAGTACAACATTTAAAATTAAAGTCATGTTAAGAATGCAGGTTATTGGCTAGATTAACTCTAACAACCTGTTCGTCACAGAGTATATTTGCTAGATAAGGTATTATAGAACATTTGTACTTTTCCTTGCGTGCATGGATTTTAATGTAATTACGTCTCGTTCTACCAGAAGATATACAAGGAGAAAGATAAGAGTGAAGGGGATGGCTAGTATCTGATAAAATGACATCTGCCAGGAGTTTGCATGATTTTAAATGTCTATCCACAACCATATTAATTATGACCTCGAAAGATTCACCACACACCTTGCTAACTGCCTTCAGCATTCTTTGCAATACAGCAAAGTCTTTTCTCAAAAGCCCGGGAAAGAATAATGGAGAACAGTAAAGAATAATAGGTAGTATGCAAGAATTGACAAATTGTAAGAGTAAATGACGAGTAATTCCAAGAGCATGCAATCTCTTTATGTAATAGGTCAGACGGAAAACCTTCTTCGATAACGATAAAACGTGGGAAGACCAAGACAGATCAGAGGAAAAGGTGACACCAAGATAATTGACCTTCGACACTGAGTTTATCAAAGAGTCTCCGATGGTACAAGCACTATGGGATCTCAAAATAGTGTTTATATTCCGTTTATGTCTCATGCTAAAGTTAACGGCTTGACATTTAGACGGATTAAGTATGAGACCATTACCAACAGACCAACAATCAATACGAGACAAAAACTCATTCATTTCTATGGGATGTAAAGAGGAAGATATAGGCATACATACAGTGAGGTCATCCGCATACTTCACAAAAGTGTTTTCTGTGGAAGATGGCAGGTCATGCAGAAAAAAAGAGAATAGAAGAGGTGAAAGAACAGCTCCTTGTGGTACACCTTCATGAGACAGTATAAAAGCTACTAACTATTAAATATATACAGAAGTAACATTTAAATAAAACAAAATACAGATTGTGACTAGAACTAACTAAACACAAATTACTAATGAATTTACCGCATTCATAAGACGAATTAGGATACACAGATTGTTCATCTTCTGGTTCTTCACCTTCAATATATACATTGCTGCTTAACTCATGACCACCAAAATTTTTGTGTCCAGGTTGAGAGTTGTAGTTAGGTACAGATTGATTCCATTTTGCAGAATCATGCTGCCCAGGAGGCCAACCCATTTGAGGAGGATAACTTGCCCCACCACCACCAGGTCCTGTATACCCTGACATTTGTGAAGGTGGGGGATAACCAGGCATTCGACGTTGCATATCTCTTGGATCTGACCCGCTCATCATATCCTGTGGAAGCATATCGAATCCTCCAGTAGTCTGTGGTGGTGGACCCCAGTACGTAAAGTTTGGATCAACATTCTGGAAGCAAGAGGTATTAAGTGCGTTAACAATTAAATGATAAATATCCTCCTATCTGAATATTTAAGTCAAATGAGGAGTGGACCGATCAGTGACTATTTAAAACTCACCAATAAGTACAAAGTTATTCTAAACGTGACTAACTTACTAAAATACTGAAAGTTAAACCTAATTAAAATAAAACTGACAGGTCATGTTTCACTAGTGAATTCACAGCAAACCGTTAGCAATGTTAAATGACAATAAAAAGTATCTGACAGAAATGAACGTAAACGAGGAATTGCTTTTAGGATTTTTCTAAAACAGATTAAAAATTAGACTCATTTTGGAGGAAGCGAGCAAAACCTAATCAAGTCAGCTTTTGCAAACTGATGGTTAGAAATCAAATACTAAGCTACAGCTCTACACATTTCAAAAACATCAAATTAAAAGTCATAATTAGGATAACTTTGAAGTTGCAACAACTTAATTAGTCAAACAACTGAACACTGTATATAAATATGCTCAGCTTTGTAGAATACTTTAATTGAAGGTGACTGAAAATTTCCAAATAACGTGATAAGAGGCCAGTAGGGTGGATTAAACAATTCTGACCTATCTTTATTTCTTATAAGTTTTACCGAGAATAATAGTTCATAAAGGTACTTCTCCGTTCATAAATGATGCATAAAATCGTTAGCATAATCAATCAAAAGAACACACATACATAACAACACTAAAGACAACATCATCTATAGACTATATCTTACAAACCACTTAGATTAAAATATGTAAAGCGTAAAAAACATTAAGTATAAAATGGTTTAGTAAAGGCATATTCCAGATATTTCAAGTTACTATTAATGAACAACAAAATGATTGTAATCAGTTTGGGGTAGCAAGGTAAAAAAAACGCTGCTCAAATATGAGAGATCACAGCATTTATGAGTACGAAACTGAACTATATTTGTTCTTTAAGGAGTAATAACCTCAAATTACTTAGAAAAAATTTGACAGTTGAGTATCTACACAGTACTACCGACAGACATTCTTCGAATTAACGTTTAGAGAAAGGAACATGATTGTAGAGCGAATATAATTTGTCTATACATACTCCTAATTCATTAGGAATGAATCAACTTTTATGCCACTATAAATAAAGAATACTAGGATAAAAATAAATTTTATTTTATACGAAATCAATTTGTAAAATAGGGTGCTCTAAATCATAGGTTACACATTGAAGTAGAACATGGAAGATCTAGTATGTAGAAAAAAATGTCTAAATCAAATGAATAATTTATTTATTCACCACAATAAATAAAAGACCAACCATCAAATTAGATGGTATGTAATATGATGATTATAGACAGATTTTATTCAGCTGCAAAAAAAGCATGATTTGGACACTAAAATAATAGATTCACTAGTTACAATACCAGGGAAGAGAATAATAAGTACAAACAACATTATATAACAACTGGGTAGCATAAATTTTTTTGCAAGACCATGAACAGAATTAATCCTTTCAATCTAATATATAATAGGTACAGTCTATGTTAACAAATGTTTGAGAAATATCTATTATTATTATTATTGTTATTATTATTATTATTTATATGTTGCATATTTTATAAATGTTCTGGAAAAGTTTACATGTATTTTTCCTCGAAAAGTGATATGAGCAAGTCTAACATTGACAAAAACCTCATCAAACACTCAAACATAAGTAGTTGAAGCAACAATTAATTCTGCTTTACAAGTAATACTTCGAAATCAACGTCAATGTCATTATATTTGACAGTGCTTTTTGTTCGGAGTCCCAGACCACTTCGAAGCCTAACAAACTATTTTACTTAAATCTTTTTGCAGGAACTACAATTGTAGTATAAACGGCTGTTAAGTATTGTCCACATGCACAAATACTTCCTGCTCGCCTCTAGTACTAATCCTAATGTTTTGTACACATACATGGATATATATGATAAAGTACAATACATAGTGCTAATGTGAACAAACCTGCATAGGATGATGAGATGATCCATATTGGGAATGATGATTATCAGAGATAGATGCTTCATCAGACTTATCGGAATGTGACGAAGCTAACTGTCGTAGTACATGATCTGCAAACTCTTGATGTTGTCGCTCAAGACTAGTGTATTGATTCATAATATTTGCTTTTATTTTGTCTATTTCACTTTCAAACGGCTGAAGAAAAAACAAACAAACAGGCAAACATGAACAGCTTGAAAGAAAATAAACCATACTCTTAAAAATATCCATTTTGGGCTCCTTAATCTACCGGATATTATCTTATACAATAGTAATGTGTAATAGCAACTGACAGATAAAGTTGTGCATATCAATGTATCGTCCCCACAAACATAATAAATGATAACAGTTAGATTATTTTAACACTTAGTTTTCTTTCACTAGTCTCATACTTTTCATTGATTGGTTTTATAAATGTCTATTAATTTAGCTGTTAAATCATTTACTACAAAGGTATTGGGCTTCAACTCAATTATTTAATATTTATGACACCACAAGAAAACTTGGTAAAATGAAGTACTTATTAGTGGGTTCTACACGAAAGCTTAAGATGAGTTTTGTGAAGAAAAGACACAAAAAGCCTCGTAGCAATGAAAATACAAAGAATACTAAATGATATGTGCTTAAGCATGTAAATAACAATTGATTGAATGATTCGAGTAGCTGATATGTATAAAATACAGTGAGAAAACATTAGATGAAATTCAAATAATTAGCCTTTTCCTTCGTCAACACGGTGATTATATGCATGACGAAAGGGTTCAGTTTCTCTTTTGTCTAGGTCTAATAGTTTGTTGTTTTTTAAAGTTATTTGTTTAAAGACTATGTCGACGGTAAGAAATACCCGGTCTAGATATTTGACATAAAAAAATGCTAAACTTTCCTATTTCAGTTTTAGGCAAAACCACAATACCTTCAATGAATACTTAATGAGAGAACAACAGTTCGAATAGAATATTTTGATCAAACAGTTCATAAGTTAAATAAGGGTTAATTGTTAGTATTATTCAACCGCACACAACAATATAGAACAGCAGAATACAGCATTATACACAGAAAAAGAGTAGTGTTAGCTAGGTGTTTTCATCAGCGATTAACCGTAAAATGAGTGAGCTTTTAAATATATTGTAATTATTATTATCTATATCAACATCTCATCATTAACAATAACGATCATTTTATGTTGCACTTGGTTGATCACACTAAGAAGTAATCAACATTGAAACTGAATGAAAAAGGTTACTGTGGTATATTTAGGTAATATTAATAGCTAGAAACCAAAATCTACTTGCAGAATCAGTAACAGATCTGATTCACATTTAATGGATAAGGGGACGTTATTTATTACAGAAATAATTTGGAAAAAAGAACTTGCTTCACTTACGCAAATCATACATTAGAAAATAAATTCACTTAATAATTAAAGTCATCTGAAAAAAACTAGCATTATCAATTGTCGGATGATGAGAGGAACTATGATTTTGGTCTTTAGTACAGGCATAATACTTTCTATTCAATGAGAAGCTCAAACTAAATATTAAGTAAAGTGACAAAGGGAAATAATTGTTACCAAAAGAGTAATATTCAACATTCGTCAGGTTCCAGAACACAGGCATGCTTATCGGGGTCCGACAATGGTGGTCTTACTTGACTTAAAGGCAGCATTTGACTCTGTAGACCAAGAGGTTCTGTGGCAGTTTCTGTCATTGAAAGGTGTACCTCAGAAGTACATAAACCTTGTGAAGGCTCTTTACTCGAACACTACCAGTCGAGTCAGAGTCAGTCAGTCAGTAGCAGTCGAGTCATTTATGTGTTGCTCCTAATTAACCCTTTTAAAACTTGTATAGTTATATAATGAGCTAAAACATATTAGATACTACTCACTAATCATCTACATCGACTGACAGTCTGATTCTGAATGCATGAAATAATCTATGAACTGGTGCATATCCCAGAACTGTAAGGGTGAAATGAGACGTCTTCATAATAGTTGAGTCCAAACCACAGTAAACTATTGGATAGAGTTAGTCAGTCAGTCAGCTACAACGTAGGACCAGGCACATATATGCATCGGTCCAAGTTGCCATACCTCATTAGCACAGCAAGATGGACACCGGATTCATAGAATTAGTTAATTCAAAGGTAGTAATGTATAAGAGAAATATTGTGTATAAGGATATAGTACAGGAGGAAAGAATTAGAAAGAAAAGTATAAAGTAGTTTTAATCTCACGATTTAAGGGAAGACAAAAAGTGAATACGCCTACGCCACTGTGATCTATTCTGAGCCATGTCACACAGAGTCTCCAACCATTGGTTACGATAGTCACGCAGACTCCAACCAAGTAGTCTGCATCTACCAACATGGCTCAGACTAGAAGTTAATGACTTCAAGGACTAACGCTATGGATAGAGCAGAGAAAACGATGAGCAACATTAAGATAATAACGAAATTAATGGCTTTATGACAAACTTGGTTTCCTGAAGCATAAATGCTTAATAAAGTTCAGTATCTATCACTCTGGTTACTACTGTTTTTCGACTACGACTCCTAAGTCGTTAGGCTTAGAAGGCAGTCACACACCATTGAGATTCAAAAGATCCAGCCGGTATATTTACCGGTTATTAAATAACTAGCATGATGAGACAGTATCCTGTAATGGAACCATGGAATTGGAAGTTATCTTATCAAGGAACTTCAATACTTCTTTTTCCGTTCGATAAACCAACATGTTACTATCGTCCTCAACTTTTTAAAACTTTCCTTCCGCCGATAATGCAGAGACAAATATCACTATACCATCAATATAAACTTTATTTTCACTCTACGAATTCGTGAATTACGCTATAAGACATTAAATAACACAACATGAACAAGACGGTGGAACAGACTTCCCTCCTAGTAAACTAGGCATTTATAAGGTAAACACCCCAGCATGTGATAAACAAAATACTAACGGAGTTTGGTGGTTAAGAGGAAAAAATATTCCAGAAGGACTAATTTCTCTGGATCGACATACTCTATTGTATCAGTTATGGTGTCAATTTAACTCTCGATACACTTAAAAAATGAGTTTCAATTACAAAACACTTAAGTCTTCAGTAGATTAAAATATCCTAGTGTCCGAAAATTACGAAAAGATCATACTGTTCTATAGAAAAAGATGAAATTTTGCGGAGCACAAAAATACTAAACTCACTGACCTTTGACTGACTTTCTTTCCATTCCGCTAAGAATTTACCTGATTCTGGAGGTCGCATCTTTACCAAAACTTCGACTGGCAAATAAGAGTTGGTTTCCCACAAGCTTAAAACACGATTAATTTTGGCTCTTTGTTCATCATCTGCAATCTCAGTCGCTAGGCAGAAAATTACCGGCACTGTTTCGTGTAAAGCTTCCTGTAGATAAATATCGAAATAAAGTGTGTATTGAATATATTTATGAGTTAAATTCATTGCCACAACATAGTGCAACTCAGAAGCTAAGAGAATATTTATTATCTAACTTTAAGTTACAAACATTGTATGAAAACTAGTGATACTACCCTGACATTTATACTTCATTAAGTCGAATTAAGTTGGAACTTGCAACAATGTTTGGAAATCAAGCACTTTACCTAGGAGTCACCGCTCTGGTTTATTTCTATCTATAAAAAATAAGTCTTTCATAGAACAAAGATCTTATGTAAATACGAAATTCATATGAGAGATCAACCAATATCTTTTTCAGTATAGTTTGATAACTAACCAATCAAATAAATCGATTTCAAAAGGGCGAACATATAATCTCACGCCATATCTGCTATTTCTCAACAGTATCAACCATGTACGTAGATATTAAAGAGTCATATTTAACCAGCTTTTCAAGATCCGACTAGGAAATAGTTATTATACATTTGATAAAACAGGATGAGATGACATAATTTGGGTCAATATCTTTTCGTATTAAATCTGTACAAAGTCTGTTCTATATGACAAGTGTGACAATTTTATTCACTGTATTAACTCAAGTGAACTGTATTTATTGTGTTTTTACAGTAATCTTAAGTATTTCTCCCTCCCATGTTATATTATTGTGTTATAACATGTAGCCTTGTGCTCTATTAACATATAACGTAATGATACTGCCAATTAGAGAATAGTGAATTGTCGACCAGACCTATGACGCATAAACCCGTACGAGTAGTTTAGAGTCTTTATCGGTCCTTCTCCCTACCTAGCCCTGCTTGTTGAGTCCAGAACACCAATCGTAGCCTCTGCAATATGAATCATGTATTTCAAACATACTGTATATAACATTGTGTGCAAAACTTAGTACACAAATGACTAAATTTTAATCTAAGGATGGTGTGATCTTGGGACTTATTTGGAGGAGTCGACAAACCTTCATTTCACCAATCTTTCGTGTTCTCACTCTGGGTCGTGGGAATTGTAGTGGTCCTCGTTTCCCGGTATAAGCAATAGGATCCAGAAATTGTAGTGGTTCTCGACTATTAAGTAAAAGCAGTAAGACTGAGGACTCAATGGACTCGATACGTACATAACAGTGACGGCTCTTCAGATATAACAGTTGACTATCCAGTTACAACTGTGGTAACAAGGTCATTTTTCCACTTATAACAGTGCTGACGAGCGATTTTCCAACTATGACACTAGTGAACCCATCATATAAGCTATTAGATATGAAGCTATTTCATATATCAGTAGGTTAAACATCATCGGAAACCCGGATATGTACTTTAGGCACGTGAGTAATAAGAATAACTTAAACTTTTACTGTCATAATAATGTAATCAAATAAGTTATCAGTCTCCGAAATGTATAAACAAGAATTACAGAACCTGCGAACCAACTGTTAATGGGTGATAATCTACAGATTTGAATTAGAATCTTAGAAAATAATTTAAAGCTAATTAGTCGTAGAGAGGACATTTTAGTGTTACAATAATTGCCTAGGAACAAAAGCACAGAGAAGTCGACATACGTAAATATTTCGCACAATCTATTGTGAAAAAAAAGAAATGATATACGGATAATAAACAGCGTTCATATTGGCGTCATTCCGTAAGTAATTGAAACCTTTCAGTGTGATAAATGGGTAAAATAGCACTAATTCCTCAAGTAACTATCTACTCTAATAGTAAGCAATAATTTACACCTTTCTTATGAGGTCCGCAAAAGAATAAACTGCTGTTGGCTTGATGTTACGGTGATGTGGCTTAACATTAGTAACGACGATATTTTTTTGTTTGGTATCCTTTATTCTCAACTATTCGATGTATTCTGATATTTAGCTTTCTGTCTGTCGATTTATAGTAACTAAGAAAATCCAACATTATTATACGTTCTAAAATAACCGAGTCAATTGAATGTTACATCGTATGATACGATAAATTTATTGTAATTAGAATTACTTAGTAGGCTTCTTAAATCAAAATCATAGTGTAAACCATAGTAAGCTAAACATTATTGTTAAGTAAATTTGAGTGTGTAAATAACATTTCACAGTGATAACAGAATCTTTTAGGACTAATCAAAATGAATATAAATCTGTAAGTTGTCTCCAACTTTTAATAATAACATACTTGCAGATGAACAGGAGCACCACGACGTTTAGAATGATGAAGTAGGTCGTTTAACAAGTATACCAAGTGGAGCCTTAAGTCAAATGTAACACTAATAGCACTTGCACGTGTTATTAGATAATCAGACATTAGCTTAGTTAGCTCAGGTGACTCAGACATTTTGTCAACAACCCAAGATTTTCCTTTAGATATATTTTCTTTTGTACAGGCTTCAATGAGTGGTTGGATCATCTAAACAAAAAATATACAGATTTGATGCAAATCAAAACATCATTTATAAATAAATTTTCGTTTGAAATTAATTATCATGTTCCAAATATCCACTTATATTGATGTATTCTACTAAAAAATCTCAGATTTAGCAAGTTTCAGTTTAATAATACACTCAACTGACTAGTATGCATCTAAAAACTGGAGCATAGTAATATCATACTTACTCAATGGCGTGTTCCTTGTGAAATTTTAAAACTAAATTGAAACATGACGTGAACCAATGTATATTAAAATAAATTACATAGTATTAAATGTGAACGCTCGACATACATTGTCACAATTGACATTAATGATTACCCACTTATAACAATTTGTAATCTCATAACAGTTGTCCCAACTATTCATACTTAGATTTAAGGTCATTTGTACCATGATAAAACAAGGGAGAAAAGTAATTAAGAAGTCATTTTGTACCTATCCTATGATGGTGATGGGGGAATTTACTTAAGAAGCTTGGTCCAGTAGTTGGTGGTACGAAATGACACCACTAACCATATAGATACATGAGTAATGAAAGTAGTTTTCTAATATCACCCACCACGAAGGACGCTTACGGTTCATCACTATAATAAACACGCAGAATTGGATACTATTAAAAAAACGACAGTAAAAGGGTATCAGGAAAACAACCTAAAATACAGGTGAAGCTTTTGACGAACATGTAAAGTGACATTTCTCGAATAAAGGAGATATCAGTAGCTGATTTTGGAGCTTCATTCCGTATTTGAAGTAAGTACACCACTAATTTGGTAGAAGCACTAAACATTCATCAATATACTGGAGGGAGAGTGAAATTCTGGAATCCAGATCCGTAAATGAATGCATAGAAGCTCACGACAATAGTCCCTACTAGGTCACCAAGTAGAATTACTTTTATTAGAACACGTTTACCTATTACCACCCAACGAGGATTGATCTGCCCCAAGAAACTACTTTCACAAGCCCCGAGGTTTATAGTACACTAGGTTACATCTAACTGCTGCGAGATCTGAGGATGAAACAGTAGTAAATAAATAAAATAATCCCAACTCAACAACAAAGTAGTCTTTTAGTCGCAGATTTGGACCACCTTTTTGCATAAGCACTACGAACTGACCAAGTAAAAGCAGGTGGATGGGATTTGAATTTTAAACCCAATAGTTGAAAGTCAAGCATTTTAAACACTAAATGTCCGCTAATGACATGGAAATTCGACCACAATAATGATAACGTAGCAATCGTTGGTTTTGTATTTTTGAGCGCTGAAGTGATCAAGGGCCTCTAAACGATACCCTGACCAAGTTTGATTACTGGGGTATGGTGTGTCTTTGTGTGTTATATGCGACACACAAGTCAATAATATCAGCATAAATAGTGTACGCAGTTAGGAAATCATAATTTATCCTACTTATACCACACCACTTTCTAAAACTTTAGTTCCTAAAGTTTAGTTTGCAAGCCATGTAAATAAGTAATCATGAGATGTTTGTGGACTTTTCTGTTAATACGTTTGATTTAACTACATACAAATGTATAAAGAAACAAAACGAGACTCTATGTATGAAACTAGTTTCATACAATTATTAGGCCTCCTTAACGTAGACGAAAAACATTATGCAGACTTACGATAATAATAATAATAGTAATAATAATAGGATTAATGCGATTCCCACCTCGGCACTACCATAAGTCAAATAAAAACGGGAAATAGGTTACTAACTTCATTCATCTGTTCCCAAGACATGTTCAATTGCTCTCCGGTTTTCCTAACATTTTCCTCTCTCTTTTTGTCTAAGAGCTCGAGAATTTCAACGTTTTGACGAGCAAGCAACGACTCATGCTGAGCAGCCAAATTTTTCTCACTTTGTTCGATATCAGCTTCTCCTAGTTCAGAACCACCAGGAACTTGGTAATCATAATGAGGTCTCGGTGCACGATAAGTCTCAGGTCCAAACGAAAACTGTTGAATCGGGAATGCTCCATGGTGTCCAGGGTAACCATATGGAGGATGATTATTATAATTTCCATGGCGATAAGAATCTACCGCTTCCGAAGGAGGATGGTATGGATATTCAGGTTGACCGCCATGCATTCGTACACCCTGTTGAAAATGTGGCCATTGTGGCTTTGGATACCATGATGGATCTGGACCACCCCATCCGCAATGCCCTAGTGGTGCGGAACTATAACGCTGCCAATGATCTGGATTTCCACCATACTGATCCCATTGTTCATTCATATTGACCCAGTTGGATCTGGAATTGAGAATCTTAACAGAAAGATAGAATAGGCCGTTAAGCCAAGCTAACAACGACAGGCATTGTAATCAATCGGAACTAAATACCAATTGGTCTTTCTGGATTTATTATTACGCATGACCACACCCCTACCGGCGAATACATGCATTTATAACGTCACAGTGTTATTAAATGTGGTACGTAATCAGTTAAAGTTCTTAAGAACACACGCTTTAAGGTCATTGGTTTCCTATTCATATACATTGAAGAAAAAAGAAATTTTGATTAACTTGAAAAATGAAGCAAAATTATTTAGTAGCTGAAAGGTATCGGTAGTAGACCAGAAAATACAAATGTCGCTGATAAAGGAAACAAACTAAGTGTACAAAAGACATTCAGGAAGGATGTGTGAATTTAATTAATAAAGGCGAATATTCACTCATACAATAGCCGAGGGACAATCGAAATACACTTACATACAGACTTCAGAACTAAGAATACATTCGCAGGTATCATAACCAACGTTTGACCTGATAATCCCAAATAAACTGTGAATCGAATGGGTTGTTATTAGTGAAACTGTTGATATACATGCAATATCCTGATGAGTAGAAAATCAAATTTTTAACGCCTCGCAACTTAGCGTAAGCTGCCTCTTCAGAACAAAGTTATTTAGATCATTTAACATGTGTTTCTCCATTAAACTATAGTGACCTGCTTTTATCAAGAGAACGAGATTGGTTTAATGGAAACAATTATTGTTATAACCAATTGTACCAGTGATTGTTTTACTGTACTTGTTTGTTTGACTGTACTAAAGACATTCTTCCTTCTGTTTATTGAGACCTTGCACGCGCTTACGTTTGCTCAGTGACTCCGCTTGCACTCTTTTTGCACGATCTCGATATTCTTTCGATACCACGAGATCGCCGACAAATATATCTCGCTACAACCTCCAATCGCCTTCTGATATCTGGTACGCAACCTTGTAGTGGTGATCATAGTCAACCGCGACTCGACGCCACACTACAAAACCTTGGTTATTTAGCTTTATATTTATCAGTAACTGTAAAGACACGAAGTACAAGACTGCAGAATTTATTACTGTAATTTATTTACCCCTCAACAAATATAATCGTCATTCACTATTACTATCTGTTGCTTTTATATGAACTGTTGTAAGGCACTTAATGTGGAATTAAACACTGGGGTCTATCTGCCTACATATGAGCTTATATAAACCGTTAAATCTAATATGGATATAGCTAGAAATTTAATTGATAGTTTTCCACAACCGATATTTATTACCTTAAAAACAATGCTGTTAAACGCCTCAATATTGCTGTCAGAAATCTTACTATTTAGCAGTCTGAACTATGACTCGTTCAGGCGACCAGCTGGTTCGCAAGAACTACCTTCAAAGTAGAAATTAGTACCATGCCCTATTTCTTCTATGACGGCAAGAATAGGGCATAACAACCAAGCCTTAATATCGTTGGGGATGACCTATGACAATCATAGTCGTTGTGTGATTTCTAGAAAAAGTGTTCCAAATTACTGTTTACGAGAGAAAAGTCTTTAAATTGAAGACAGATGAGTGCACTCTACCAAACGGACAAAAATATACAGTTACTGATTGAGTGAAAGTACCGATTTATTAGATCGTTCATCTGAGCCGTATTATGGACCTACAATTTATGTCGGTCTTTATGAAAAGTCGATGGTCGAAAAACTGATTAATTTAACTAAACAACACGTTAGAGCTCGAAAGACAAACTCGGACTTAATTGCATAGTTTTTAGATATGTTCTATGGAGATCAGATATATTACTAATGTTAAAACCAAAGTAGGCAGAGTAGGGTCGAAGCCGGTGACAGAAATCTTGAAACTCTGGTGCTTAAACTTGGGTCATATACAAGGACTTTAAGAAATATGGCCCACAATTAGACGCAATTATCGAGATGCACTTACTCCTCACTTTGGTATAAGTAATGAGTAACTTATTAATGCGGTTGATTGTTCTATCATTTTTAATTTTTCCATCCTTTAGTTAAAGTAGGAACCATTATCACATGTATATTTTGCCCCTAAATCCCCCTTATCATACTTTTTGTATATGGCCTTATGAAGCTTCTATTTATTTACTCCTTAGTGGATGTAAAGTTTGGAGTCTAATAAAAGTGTAACCAGGGAGTGAACGTGGCTTTAGAGACATGAATTGGCCTTCGAATTTCAAGTACTGTAATTCGCAATAGTTGTTGTGTATAGATACAACGAATTTAACCCCTTTCACGCTAACAAATACACATTTATTTACTTAGTAACTTTAATCTTATTGATAATTGTATTAATCTATCTGGTGTTCCTGTCAAATTATTCTTTGATATGCAAGCTAAAAGCAAATAACCAAGTCAACATTACGAGCCATTTTGAAGACTTGATGCTTTGGGATTAGTTGTGAAAATAAAAAACCAGAAGTTGGGTTCAGCGATCTTTGTGGATAATGTGTTATCTAACCATAACTACTTAGTTTCGGTACATAAAGTCGACCCTGAACTGTCAGTGACGTACAATTCCAAAGAACATAGCACCGGCAAAAAAGCGAATGCTTAAGCCTGGTCCTATGACAGATACTTTCGTGAAAATGACAAATCTACCGCATACAAAACAACCCCCCTGACCACGTATATGCATTAGAAACCATATAAACCCTGGTATAAAATTATCAAAAAGTATTACTCCAACCTGATGCGATTTATTTTTCGTTGAATACTGCTGCTGCCAAATTTTACGAGCTTCGTTAACTCTAAACATATAATATTCATGGAACTGGCCACCTCGAAGAAATGCGAACTTTGGGTTGTCCCTCTGTTTTTCACTTGTTAGTGCTTCGAATTCTGGCCCATTTCTGGCCACAAATTCAGCCAATTTATCGATAATGTTCTGCTGTTCAATATCGACTGGAGGCAGAGGCGATGCCATTTAGCTGCCAAGAGAACAAATCTTAAAATATTAATAACTAGGCCTAAGTTTGTAATTTAGTCACATATCTTTTTAAGAGGGTTTTGTGTTTATTTGCTGAAAGGGTAAAACTAACACATGTGCTTTGTGTGGGTGAATACAGTCACACAAAACTAACTTTCAAAGACACGTAAACACTTTTATTTCCCGCCGCAACTTTATTAAAGGACCAATAAAATACACCAGAGCTTCAATTCGAAACATCATAAGTATAAATAGTATAAATAGCCATTTGATGCTGGAAGTGAAAGCTGAGCCATGAATAATATTCGGAGGTAACAATATTGTTACCTCAAACGCTAGTATTCCGATAAACGAATTGGAAAGATGTTTACTCTATCATTCCTTGTAGACATTTCAGTTTCAGTTTCAGTTTGGGAAGGACAGGAGGCTCGATGGCCTATGTTAGTCCTGGCAATGGTGGTCTCTCAGTTGATCCAACTTTCTTTTGAAAGAGTCGACGGATGGAGCCTCAACCACGTGCTGAGGTAGTGAATTCCACTCGTTGATGATTCGATGGGAAAGTCGATGGTCAGCTGACAAGTAATTTGTTCTCGGCTTATGAACTTTTTTGGAGTGTCCTCGTAAATTCTCTGTTTTGGAAGACAAGAAAAATGAGGGCATATTAGGTGCAAATTTGGCACTAAGCAATTTGAAAACCGTAATCAAGTCGCCTCTAGTTCTGCGATAAGACGACGGGAAAAGGTTCAGCTTGGCCAGTCGAGATTCATACGGAAGCTTCGCTATTCCGGGAATCAGCTTAGTCGCCGTTCTCTGAACCTTTTCCAGAAGCTCACTGTCTTTTTTTAAGCAAGGGCTAGCCGCTTGTATGCAGTACTCAAGTTTGGGACGTACGAACACTGTATACAAAGTCAAAAACGTTTTGGCGTTGACATGACTAAAAGCTCTACGTATTGACCATAACGTTCTAAAACCTTTGGCGGCTATTGCACGGCAGTGTGCAGTAGTCTTTAAGTCTTGGCTAATGATAACTCCTAAGTCATTATATGTCTGGACGACAGGTAGCTCAGTGTTATTCATCGTGTATGTATCTGTGCCTTGATGACCGATGTGCATCACAACACACTTGGAAGTATTTATCGGCAACTGCCATGTTTGAGACCATTCAGATAACTTCTTCAGGTCATTTTGAAGTTCTAAGCTATCACTCTTACATCGTATCGTTCTCCATATCTTGACATCGTCAGCATATAGCAAGACTGATGATGATAGGAGACAAGGAAGGTCATTTACATACAAGAGGAATAGCACTGGCCCCAAAACTGTACCCTGGGGCACTCCACTAAGCACAGTTTCCCAGCTAGACAACTTGGAGTTCACCCTTACTCTTTGTTTACGCCCAACTAAGAAGTCTTTTATCCACATAAATAAATTACCTCCAATCCCGACATTTCTTAACTTATATAACAGCCGGTTGTGCGGAACTTTGTCAAAAGCTTTACTGAAATCAATGAAGGCGACGTCTACAGGTAGCTTTTGGTCCTTAAGAGCGCACCAGCTTTCACGAGCCACTAATAAGTTAGTGAGACAAGAATAACCTATTCTGAAGCCATGCTGCTTCTCCGAGAGGATCCGGTTTTTATCGAGATACTTAAACAGCTCCTTCCGAATAATCTTTTCTAATATTTTAACAACCACACTAGTTAGGCTAACGGGGCGGTAGTTCTCAGGTTTGTGTTTCGTACCTGTTTTGAAGACAGGACTTACTATGGCGTTTTTCCAATCTTTCGGTAAGCGACCCTGCGTAACGGATAGGTTAAAGCATGTACTTAAAGGGTTCGCAACGAAGTTAGATAATTCCTTCAGTAGCCTAGGATGTAATTCATCGGGCCCCGTGGATTTACCTATGTCAAGCTTATTTAGCAGACCAAAGACATCGAGTACTTTAATGGTCACGCTATCCAGTGTATGTGTAGAATTATGGTCTATTATGATATTAGTACTGCTCTAATAATAGACCTAATCCTAAATTCGTAGATTTGTCATGATATAACTGCCTAACCTATAAGATCTTACGTGGAAGTCACACCATCGACTACACCAACTCACTGTATCGTATCAATTACCAATACATGATGTAGAACAAGGTTAGGCTAGAGAAGGAACAATATATTTAATATGAATGGAAGATATAAGGTAACATTCAGCAGAGACCACGCCTGCATGGCCGAGCCATGCCACTCGATCAACCCCAGTCCATTCCATTCATCCTTCGCGCCTTCTCCATCGTTAGGTATTTATCCGCGTTAAATATTGAATATCTATTTTCTGAGTAGTCTCGTGTTCAGCTTTGTGGATTGTGCGGTTATTGTTCAATGCCACTACACTACTCTCCCACCAGAATCAACGTGATGTTGGTTCGATACCGAATCGGATGGGATCGTCGTGCGCCGAAGGTTACCAAGACTAGGAAGAATCCCCGGGTAATGATAAGCTGAAAGATAAATCAAAAAGAAGGCGGCAGCATCTGGTCGGGAAATACATGTAACAATTTTTAAAAAGATCTGCCTTCATGCTTAACACACTTAAAATGACAATTTGGATGAAGATTATTTGAACTATAAATAATGGCATAATAATAATAATAATAAAATGATGCGTGTTAATAGCCGTTGGTTAATAACTTAACGTATAGGTAGTAAGTATTTTGTGTTTAGAAATATTAAAGTAATGAATATTGTAGAAATGTTAATATTGGTATTAGTTTTGGTTTAAATTATGAAATCAAATAACGATTATGCCGGTAAGTTGTCCATATGAGTTGAATTCCAATTGCATCTGTATTAGTAGGCTAACTGAAGGAACAAAAGTATACCGTGGAGAAGAATAACAAGTAGTGTTCCTGTTAGTTTGATACGGTTTATTTAGTTACGGGGAGATTTTCTAAACCCCATGTTTACTTGACCGTGATAGAATTTAGTAATACTACTAATACACATGAATGGTTATCAAGACAAAATTTAAATACGTGAGTGATAATTATATGAGCTTTGGACAGATAGCTAGGAACAAATCGTTAAACATGAGTGTATTCGTAAGAGACATGCTCTGGACTCAATGTTCTGATCTGCAGACTATTTATTTATATTTATACTTGCTGGCTGATTGGGCATACAAGTATGCAAGTATGCAGTTTATCATAAGGCGGAATACGATTTAACTGAGATATAGTGGTTATAAGTTATTGAAATCAGTTAAGCCTATGTGTCATATTACTAACTGACGTGGTGCTGCAAGATGTATTTAGCTAAATAAGTTTTTACAAGATTAATAGTGAGTGATGCTCATGTGATTATCAGGGAGTACATAAGTGGTAACCAAGGGGAGTACACTCCCAACTCATGTCTATGATAATGGCTTGAACCTTAGTCGATGTTGGGGTAAATTCGACATTGATGTTTTCAGTTTGCAGGAGATTTGCTCGACTGTTTATACTGATTATTTGCATGCATGATTGTGTTGCTAAACCATCAATAAGACTGACAAGGTTTTGAGATATTTACTGAATAAGCAACTGATAGAGAAACCTACTGTAATCATATGTAGTGAATGAAGATAAAATAAAAACAACACTAGTGATAATTATAAGTCAATTTGCTGACCGAATTTGTTAATAGATTCATTAATTTTACCAATCATATTATGTGACTGTCAAGTCATGACAATGCTTTATGACGATATCCTGAAACTATTATGTTTAACTAGTTATAGTGTTGATTGAGGATTAGTCAGTAGAAAAATAGGTATTGTTGCTTTAGGTGATTCGAAATTATCAGAAATTTATAACGTTAAAGAATCCGAGACGCCTAATTCAATTATAAATTTTAATCCAGAAAGATTCGTCTAGTGTTAATTCTAGTAGGCTACAGAGTTTTGATTTTAAACATTTGTTTAGCCAACAGCCACCTAGGGATTTAGTTATTTTACTAGTGCAGTTAATAGTACCTAAATTTTTAATCTTATTATCTAAACTATGTTCGCGTTTTAGGCTGCTAATATGATAAATCAATCCATAAAGCCAAATACGATTAGCGACAACGACTATGATGGATTTATTGATAAATGTTAAAGGCGATTCAGATGATTCCTAAATTTAGAAGACATGAAGATATAGTGTAACGTATGTGCGGGCCAGGTTGACAAGCAGGTTGTTGACGTATATGACAATTTAAAAATAATGAACATGATCAGATAAATAAATTCCAAGTTAAGACTGCTTGTGAAACTTCAGGCAGGAATATGACGCGTTATAAACATTCCATAAGAAGTTACTGCATTTAACCTAGGGACACTAACAAATATATGGCAAAAGGAACCGGAAAACATATACATGTTAAGTAAAAAAAAATCATTAAGTAAAATAGTTGAACTCGCCTGGGTTATTTTTGCAAATTATATTATTCAGTGGACGACATATACAACGCCATTCGTGAGTAGTAATGATCCAAAAGCATCCAGAATAAAACATGCAGAATGGCAATCACTTCCAGGGTGCTTGATGCTGTTGAGGTTTTTGGGACTCGCTCTAATCAGAACAACTGAATGAATCCAGATAATTGTGTGTGCCATTGAATGAGCCATCTAAAATGAACTTATGATTGCAGAAAACTTATAACTGGAACTCACCGTATTTTTTTTGAGAAGTGTCATCCTTGTAGTTTGGCAATGGAACTCGAGAATATGAAATTAGGCAGGCTGTGGTCGGAAGAAATGATATTACAGGATAGTGCATAGTTGAAAACAGGATGAGGTGTTAGGTGAAGGAACACTGATAATTAGATCCAGATAACTATTCAGTCCTTGATTGCATTGTTAGTCAATCTATACTTACGCTATTTACAGGTCATATTTGCTAGAGCTTGATGTTTAAACAAGTCTATGTTGCTGAAGCATGTAAATGCTATTAAAGCTTGTTAACGAACCATCAAAGCTAATTGGTTGATATAGATGATCAACTTTTATTATCGATTGAGCTAGTAAGTTATGTGAACTAATAGATATAACATTACGATAATATATGCGACCATTAATAAAAGGACAATTAGAATAGTGGGTTTACAAAAATAAAAACCGATTGAGAAGGTTAGGGTGGAAATAAGGATTAACAATAATAGGTTGCGTTTCTTTAGTTGGGCTCACCAATGTAGAATTATGGTCTACTATGATATTAGTACTGCTCTAATAATAGACCTAATCCTAAATTCGTAGATTTGTCATGATATAACTACCTAACCTATAAGATCTTACGTGGAAGTCATACCATCGACTACACCAACTCACTGTATCGTATCAATTACCAATACATGATGTAGAACAAGGTTA